AACATGATACCGCAATTCACAACATATATCATTTCAAAGAACCAACGATGTACAATACCATTCTCTAGTCACATTTATCAACAAGTCTAATCATAACAATAACAATGATATCCAACATAACAATCCCACATGATGATTAACATTTCCACTTCATCCATCACATAAATCATCACGTTTCCCACATAAAATCGCATTTCATAGTGTGTAACATAGTTAAGAATTAACAAAGTACACATTATTCTTTAGAAATATTAATCAACTAAAATACTCGTGATAACCACACTCATATACAACGTCATTCCATAATTACATCAATCAATAATGTCAACTATCACATCATGAATAACACATACAACATGTCGAAACGCAAGGCTAGAGCAACACAATTCAGTGAAGACTACATCTTTGAAAAAGGGGATTTTGGACCACCCAATGGATCAAGGCACCAAAGGGGGATTCCAAACCATCACTCAACAGAATCCAAGCATAACTCAGTTCTAGACCACCCAACAGAATTGAGCGGAAGTCCAAGAAGCATAACAACGGCTCGAAGGAACAAGACATGATTCAAGTTACTCAATTCACGAAAACTCAACGAAAAGAAGCAATATCGAGCACAAATCCACATCACAATGGGTTATCGGTCAATTACTAGACCTCACATCTCCCAAGCAATTCAATATGCATTTCCATCACATGTCACAACCATTTCCAATACACAAGTCAAATCATATTTCACTTCATCATACCAATCACTATGCTTCCAACATTATATCTCAATACATAGCTTGTAACATATCAAGGAATCACGAAGCACAATATTAATATTTAATTATGTTAATCAATCAGTGAGATAACATATCATTTCACGAATATAATTAAAGAACTCTACATAATTCCCAACTTGGGTTATGAATAATAACATGGTAATTCTAATTTATTTTCACAATATCTATTGTGGGTAATTTCAATCTACTCGAATTTAGGATTTTAAGATCACCTTATGGAATGAACAAGAGCAAGGATTCCGGACCATTCAACGGAATCCAACAACATTGGGTTCCGGACCACTCAACGGAACCAAAATATCAAGCGGTTTCTCATAATCTACCCAGATTTGTCATAAGTAAAGTCAATGCCAATATTATGGAATTGGTGCACTGGCAAATTAGGCACTCAGATAAACTGAGAGGCTCGGGTGAGGGACAATAAAATAAGCATGTGATACAATAATAAAACCAGCCATCCATCACAATTTATAAACCTTGAATATAAATCTTTCATACGAAATCAATACCAAACTTTTGAAAACTTTGAGGGAGTCACCCAAACATCCAAAAGTTCATTTCAAACAACCATAACATCTCACACCTATATTCACATATACACAATGAAAATAGAATTAGGGCGACACAGTTCATCCAAAGCTTACACCTTTGCAACAATCTCAAACTAAACTCAATGCACTAAGGTGGATACAATCTCGGACCATCACTCAATGGGATTGCGGAATAAGAGGGATTCCGGACCATCACTCAACGGAATCGCGGAGTGGAGTAGGAAGGATTCCGGACCATCACTCAACGGAATCCAAACTAGGATACGATTCCGGACCATCACTCAACAAAATTGCGGAGTGGAGTAGGAAGGATTCCGGACCATCACTCAACGGAATCCAAACCAGGATACGATTCCGGACTATCACTCAACGAAATCGCGGAGTACATTGCATAACCACCAATCAATGAAACAACACATGAATCAAGTTACTCAAGTTATAAAGGCTCAACGAAACAAGAAATGAAATAATGAAACAAGCATTAACACATGTTTCGAAGCAACAAACCCTATGACAATGGGTTAACGGTCCACCACTAGCCCTCACCATCATCAAATCAAGCAAATCATACAAAACAAACCATATTTCCAATATGCACGTCAAATCCCACTTCATATAACTACATCTTTGGCTAAATATATAAATTAACAATTTATAGGAAAAATGATTATAAAACCATTTCATATTCACATATATTGAAGTCACTCACATTTCATCATATCATACCATCTATGTAAATCAACCACCTTTCAAATATGCACATCAAATCACATATCACGATCATCATCAGTACACAAGCCAAATCATGTTTAATAAACATAGGTCTATGGCTAAATATATATAATCACATTTCAATAGAATCACATTATAAGACCAAGTCAAATTCACAGATGATACCAATATAAGAAATCAAGGTAATAACCATATCACATATGTTCAAGTCACTCTCTAACCAATGTAGGCCCACTAGACTTCACTTAAGTCTCCCATAGTACTAATTTTATTATTTAGAACGTTCCGAGACATGTTGACCACAATTCAACTCTCGGTCAACGATGGGGTCCACAACGATCCGTAGATCAGATTTATGATCCATAACTTCCTAAAGTCCACATTATGCTTCGAGAATAACATACTAAAGTTTCATTATGATCCAACGGTCGGATTGTCGTCAATCACACAAACAAGTGGCGGTCCTAATTGATCACCAGATCAAACAATTGAATCTTTGGAAACCGAGCTAGACATAGGTTCACATGGTCACTAGAAGGTATTTGAAACCTAGACAACACTCGTGAATGATCCCACGCACCGCCACACGTGATGGAAGTCAAGATGGAAGGTTTAGAAACCCCGAATTTTCAACATTATATAGATGAGCTCAAAATTACATGGTAGATAGAGCTCAACAAGAGAAACACTTTTCACAACTAGGCCGACGATAAATTCTAACTGGAAACTGTTCAATTTCACCGGAGAAAACTAGATTTCTAGGGTTCTAAACACCCAACTCTAAAATGAATACGAAAGCACAAACTAAGCATACCAACTTGAAGATTATTAAGAGTAGATGAAGTTTCATACCTCATTCGAAGGAAATCATTGCTGGAATTGCCGAAAAAATGATAAAACCGCTAGAAAAGTCGTGGGCTTTGCGACCTCGAACTGCAAAGATGGAAAAGAAATTGGGAAATCTAACATCACAGAGATGTAGGGCTCGTCAAGAGCTTTCCCTGGACACCAAGATCACCCAAAACGGAGCTCGGATGAAAAAAGATACGAGCAGGTCAAGTTTGATGGGTTTATGGGTCCAAATCTCCCTACAACGGGTTAGTGATAGCTTTTTTTTCCCATTTTTCAGAAACCTCCTCCTTTTCTGGAGGTTTCACTCTCATTTATAGCATTTTGGTAAAATTACCAAAATGCCACCAACTTCAAACGACTATAACTTCTCCATTCTGACTCGAAAATAAGATCTGTTTACGCCTACGCGCTCATGGAATCGAACTTTACCTAACCAATTCAAGAGTTGACCGAAAAGGTCAAGAAAATTGGAAATGACTAAAGTACCCCTCACTTTGTTTTTTCTTAAATTTGGAGAAATAAAGAACTAGTTCTAATCAAATCTTCGAAATACGTCAAGAATAAAATAAAATAATAATTTTGGGGACGGGATATCACAAAAATGATGGGGATTCAACATCAACCTTTAGTTGTGATGGTCTAATTACCAATTTCCCTTGAAAACAAATCTTGCAAGGGTTATCATTTAAAATAACAATGTGTCTGCTCAATAATGGATGTCCATTAGAGTTGGTAATGATCCTACATATCATGGTGGATCCTGGATGACCCAGACGGTCATGCCAAAACATGTAAATTTTTGAATCAATGAACTTCTGGTTCATGACAGTATGTGATTCAATTGTCTTTATGTATGTATAATACAATCTACTTGACAAACCATGCAACTTCTCCAATATACGCTTCTGGGTGTCATTGGAGGTAATGCATAGATACTCCACATTTTCTGCACTTTTAGTTTCAATGTGGTATCCATTTAAACGTATGTCTTTAAAACTCAACAAATTTCGAGTAGATCGAGTAGCGTACAACGCATTCTGTATGGACAATATTGTTCCATTTGGTAACATGATTTGGGATTTTCCTTAGCCTTTAATTACATCTGATTGATATGATATTGTTGTTACCTTTACTTTTGTAAGCATCAAGTTTGAGAAATACTTTCGATCTCGAAGTATTGTATGCGTGGTTGCGCTGTTTGCAAGACAAATATCTCCGCCATTGCTCTTGTTTTGAGAATGACCATAGTTTTTATCCATGTTTTAAGAGTAAGGAAATCACATTTAATTTATTTATAATAAAAGGAAATTGACATGCCACTTTTATTGATTTTGAAATGCAAGCATTTAGACTACAAGTTCAGAATAATAAGAGTACATTAAACTTGAATAATTCAATTGGACCAATAAACTTTATTCCCTATTTCTACAATGAAGTCTGAGACATCTAGGTGGGTTGTGTTCAACTGCCTTGAAAAGTTGTACACTGGATCAGGTATATCCATTGGTCTAGCTTGGTCGAGGAAATTGGTCTCAACACCCTTCTCATTGAGGGAGACTTGATATAGATCCATCAGATGTTTTGGGGTACGATAGGTACGCGCCCAATGCCCATTGCCACTATACCTATCGCAGGCTCATTCAGAGTTTCTAGGAGCATTGTTCTTATGAGCTTTGCCTTTATGGCGATTTACATTTTTGAAGCTCGGGACTGAATTATGCCTTGGAATCTGGTTGTGAAACTAAACACCATGATTCTTGCCTTTCCCATTTCATCGACCTCGCTTGTGGCCACGTCCTCGTTTGTAATTATTGCCACAAAAGGATGTGATGTTCATTTTGAGGGAAACATCATTTACTTCTGGGAATGGTGCAGATCCAGTAGGCCGGGACTGATGATTCTTCATCAGAAGCTCATTATTTTGTTCAGCTACTAGGAGCACATATATCAGCTAGTTGTATTCAGTGAAGCCTCACTCTCTATACTACTGCTGCATGAACACATTGGAAGTATGAAAGGTGCTGAAAGCCATTTCTAGCATATCTTCCTCAACGGTGTTTTCCCCATTAAGCTTCATCTAGGAGCTAATTCTAAACATCGCAGAATTGTACTCAGCCACTGACTTGAAATCCTGGATCTTCAGGTGAGTCCACTCATAACGAGCCATTAGAAGAATCACCGTTTTCTGGTGATTATATTTATTTCCCAGTGCATTCAAGAGGGTTAATGGATCTTCAACAGTCAAGTATTCGCTCTTTAGTCCTTCATCAAGGTGGCGACGGATAAAGATCATGGAATTCGCCCGATCTTGAGAAAATGCATTGTTCTCCTTCTTGATTGTTTCTTTAAGATTCCTTGCCTCTAGATGAATCTTGACATCCACTACCCAGGTAAGGTAGTTATTCCCAGTAATGTCCAGGGTTATAAAATCAAGCTTTGTCAAGTTCGCCATTTTCTCTTCCGAAAGAAAAATGAGATGTGTAAGAACTTGCAATAATATGTATTCTAGAGGGATGTAGTGTTAGAACTTCTGGTTCTTACAAATTTTTCATTTTGATCTTCAAGTCAAAATGATAAGCACTCGAAACTTAAGGCTTGAGATTTACATGATTAATGAGGAGGGCGATTGTACCACACCATTCTCATTGAAAACAAAATATAGCATAGGATGAGCGATTATTGCGTACCACTCAAGTAGCAGGAAAATTTAAATATGCAAAGCAGGTTGGGCAATTATACTGTACCACCTAAAATTGCAATAAAATTAAATCTGTAGCTCAAGATAAGCGATGATACCGCAACATCTTGGATTGCAGTAAGATTAAATTTGGAGTTCAAGATGGGTGATTGTATCATACCATCTTTAATTACAGTAAAATTAACATAAATAAAAACTGGGTTAGTAAACAAGAAATCAAAGATATAAGTAATTGTTAAATTGAGAACGAAAAGCAGGCATGGTACTAGTAGTTCATCGCGAGGGTACATTATACAGGTGAGGCAGAGGAAAAAGAAGAATAGTAAAATCCTTACAGGAAGCATTTTTCGGGGAAGGGAGATGGGAGCTGGTTAGAGAATCATGTTGATAATGTGTTATAAATAGGCAAAAGTTAGAGAGATAACCTTTGCTAGTGACAGGAGCGAAACATATATAAAATATCACATTGTAACGATAACACAAGAGGATGACAAATAAAAGAGTGAGGGAGAGATGCTGATGTTATTTATCTTTTCTTTTCACAGTGTGTTTTGATAGCACATGGAGCACACTATTTATAGAGCAACTTCAAACAAACATAATAATTACATCTTGAAAAGCACAACACACACTTTTTGAAAATATCACACAAATACAATCATCATTCTTTTCCCAATTCCACATTACTGTGTGGGCATTCATTTATCCACCAATATTTACAACAGTTGCCCAAATGAAGGAATGATTCATCAAGAGCGATAAGACTAAACACAAATCTCCAAAGTTTTTCAGTGCACATGAGCTTTAAAAGGCTAAAGTTATTGAAGTTAGATAAATCCGTTCCAATGAAAATCTGGCAGACCTGTTTACCAAATCTCTACCAAAGTGCACGTTTCAGAAGTTAGTGCAGAGTATCGGATTACGCCGGCCTACCAATCAGCTAAATTTGAAGAATGCAGAATCAGGGGGAGATACACATCAGGGGGAGCATCCATGATACATGCATGTTGTACTCTTTTTCCTTCGATTAGGATTTTTCCCACTGGGTTTTTCATATCAAGGTTTTAATGAGGCAACATAAACATACTTAACATTATATCAACAATTCAGGTAAAGTTGTACTCTTTTTCCTTCGCTATGATTTTTTCCCATTGGTTTTTTTCAGGCATGGTTTTAACAAGGCAACTGATGTTGATATGTGGGCATCCAAGGGGGTGTGTTGTAAATATTGGTGGATGAATGAATGCCCTCAGAATAATGTGGACTTGGGAAAAAAATGATGATTGTATTCGTGTGATACTTTCAAAAAGTATGTGCTGTGCTTTTCAAGATGTAATTATTATGTTTGTTTGGAGTTACTCTATAAATAGAACGCTCTATGTGCTATTAAAACACATTGCGAAAAGAAAAGATCAGTAACATCAGCATCTCTCCTTCCCTCTTTTATTTTTCATCCTCTTGTGTTATGATTACAGTGTGATATTTTACACCTGCTTCGCTCCTATCACTAGTAAATGTTATTTCTCCAACTTTTGCCTATTTATAACAGAAAATTATATTAAATTTATTTATGTTAATTAAAAAAAAAAAACTAGTTGCCTGGACCATTCAATTTTAAAAGTGAAAATGCACTCGAATAATTACTGTTTAGTAAGACAATAATTATCTTAGCTCAATAACTCTGACATTAATTGCCTTAATGATAATTTAGTAAGACATTAATTTTGGTTTGGTTGTTGTTATAGGCGCTGCTTGGACCCTAAGACCTCATGATATTTCAAAAGTTTTACTATTATTAGAGGGAAGGGGAGAGTTTAAAACTATTACAATAATTTAAGAGGTGCGGAGTTTCGAACTCAAAGCGCATGAATAGAAATCTAATACTCTATTCACTAGTTTATTGGACCTTAAAATTTCTCAAAATTCTAATTAAGTACACCCTCCTAAGACTGCGATGGTGGTGTCATAACAACCTCTTAAGCAATCATTGATCATGATATTACATATTCGCCCACAAATTTGCCCACAAGAAGACTAGTTCTACACGTAATCGCTAGTTATCATACAGAAACGTTTGTGCCTTATTTATTGTTTAATCCATGTGTTAATTATACCCATTAAACAATGACAATAATTGTATAAACAGTGTTACAAAAAAAAAATGTATAAACAGTTGCCTTACACTGACTTGGTAAAAGAAATTTAAACAAATGAGGAGTTTCATATGCAAAAGTGAATGTTTAGATGATGAGTTGGAGAATGATTTTTAAAAAATGATATGGTTATTGATAATTTGATTATTACTTAAGTGTTAATTAATATGCTTATTTCTTATTGGTAACACATCATTTAGTTTAAAAATTTAGTCTTTCCAAATATTATCCCATTAAAAAATAGATATGAATTGTTAGACAATAATTACTAGACGTTATGTTGTCTACTATTTATATTTGAATAATGTTAACACTTATTACATAACATTCAAACGAACCTAGTTCCCCTTTTGAGCTTCATGAGTTTTGAGAGAGATAGAGATGAAGATGAGTTTGGGAGAGAGAGAGAGAGACACAGATGTATCATGTATGGATTTGAATAATGGTGCAAAATTACATAACATTCAATATATGGTGCGGTTTCGATTTCGATGGGATTTTGAAAACCCAAAACCGAAACCAAACCGTTTTCTTTGCTACGGTTCGGTTTCAAAACCGCAAAATCAAACCGTTCGGTATGGTTCGATTCAATTCGTGTTTCGGTTTCGATTTCGGTTTTTGGGTTCCAAGTGCCCATCCTTACCTAAGACTGCGATGGTTGTGTCATAACAACCTCGTAAGCAATCATCGATCGTGATATTACATATTCGCCCACAAATTTGCCCGCAAAAAGACTCGTTCTACACGTAATTGCTGGTTATAATACAGAAACGTTTGTGCCTTATTTATTGTTTAATCCATGTGTTAATTGTACCCATTAAACAATGACAATAATTGTATAAACAGTGTTACAAAAAAAAAAATTGTATAAACAGTTGCCTTACACTGACTTGGTAAAAGAAATTTAAACAAATGAGGAGTTTCACATGCAAAAGTGAATGTTTAGATGATGAGTTGGAGAATGATTAATCGTTAAAAAATGATGTGGTTATTGATAATTTGATTATTATTTAAGTGTTGATTAATATGCTTATTTCTTGTTGGTAACACTTTATTTAATTTAAAAATTTAGTCTTCCAAATATTGTCCTATTAAAAACGGATATGAATTGTTAGACAATAATTACTAGATGTTATGTTGTTTACTATTTATATTTGAATAATGTTACACTTATAACATTTTCATACCATATTTGCTCCATCTCGACCTACCAATATAAGAGGGTACCACATTTACTTTCATACCATGTTGTCTAACATATTTTCATACCATGTTGTCTACTTGAAAACATCCACTTGATCCAAACCAGTGGATATGCCACGTGATGATGATGAAGCGTGATAAGATAGCTCCAAATTTCGGCTGAGCGGATCAAATAATTTCGGATGTCTATAGTCGTATTTTGGGTGTTCGGTGGTGGCGACGAAGAGGTCCGTCTAGTAGTGGTAGATTTTGGTGGTGGCGGCGGTGATCTAGTATATGAGGGGAACGAAAATGGAGTCTTGCCGTCAAGCCAGTGAGGTGGCCAGGGAGAGGAAGCAGGCGGAGGTGGAAGACAAAGAAATGACTTTTGGGTCACAAAGTATGTAATTTTGATGGCCGGAGGTTAAGCACTCAATGGGCTAGGATGGCCGCATTTTGCCTTACCAACTTCAGGGAAACTCCGAATATAAGCCTAGATTGTTTGTAAGGACTACTCTTGGGATGCTATGATCCAAAGTCGATAAGAAAACAACTCAGACTTTACATTCATTTAATCCATTTAACTGTGACTGATATTACAGTTTAAAGAAGTGTAATTTCACGTATGTGAGTCTGGCCATACTCTTTTTTTTTTTGAACGAGTCTTGCTAGCATTTTCCTTTAAACTATTCAATTAGTTGGAAAAGAATTTTCATATCATGAGTACACCTCCAACCGTTACATCCGAGCACAAACCCAAAACTTATAGATGATGTTATGAGCACGAAACGTCAGATTAACAAAATATTTTTTGTAGCATGTGATTGATTGCTTTGATAAAGTTTTCGTCGTCATCTTATAACATTACATATTTAAACCTTCTCTTCCTCCATCCCAGTAGTTTAAATGGATTTTAGCATAATCCAATTATTTGCCTAGTGGACAAACTATTAGATCTGTGATTGGATAAAAAATCGTTATGATCCCAGCCACGTATCCAACTTTTCCACTAAAAAAAATAATTAAAAAAATAACTTTTCCACTAAAACCTGCATGGGTCACTACCCGTCGAGGGAATGCTCCAGGACAAAGCGCTACAAAACCAATCGACAAACCACGTGTCATCATCGTAGCTCACCTGTATTCACAGTCAGGTGAGATTACGACAAGCACTTGACGTCCGTTGATATATAAATCGAAGCTCGTCGCGCGGGTGTCGTGCTCGTCCACCCTGAAACCAAATGTAAAATCCGCGCCAGCGAAGCAAGAGAGAAGCTGCCCCTCGAAGCCTTCCGGGGCACCCGCGGACATTTTTCATCGAAGAGCACAAGGCGCAGAAGAAGTAGCCTCGATCCGATGAACTGTTGGCGGAGCGACCCACAAGGCTAAGGTGGGCTATAACCTAGGAAGGTTTTCTGGTAAGGCTAATGCTATTTATGCTTTCATTTGAAAATGGTAATGGCAAAAAATTAGTTAGGATTTGTTGAAGGTAAAAATAAGTGTGAATAACACTATTTTTTTGTAATCTCATGTTTATAGGCTATTTAATTTCAATACAGGTTATTATTTAATGTAAATTTAGTAGAGTATAGGTAATAAATAATAAGTTTGAGATGTGTTATCTACATATCTCTTTTTACTTTTTACATACCTTTTTAATTTCCGATCATCGGATTAAATGAATTGAAAAAGATAAATAACATAAATTAATGAGGGATGTATGAGAAGTAAAAAAATATATGTAGATATTACACCCCATAAGTTTTATACCAAAAATTATAAATTAATTCTATCTCCCGTCCCTCTTTATCCTATTTGTAAAATAAAAAGACTATTTATCCTATACGATTTAGAATCTATGCTTCTTAATCAAGAAAAGAAAAATAATTTTTTTAAATCCACAAGTAAATCCCTATGTTCACAATTTCTTATTTTTTGTTGCGATTTTCCAATGAAGTCATCTTTAGTAAATTTTTAATCTCTTTATTTAATTATTCTTGATTTAATTAATAAGTTAATTATTTATATTGTCTTTGAATATATAGGCTACGTTATGATTTTAAAAATAATTTATATTCTATTGTTTGTTCTTTTATATTGATTATTATAAAATTTTTATGTAAGCAAGGAAATAAATGTATGATTTTATAACATTAATTTCAGTTAGCCCACCAACAAAAAAAATCCTGTCTCCGCCCCGTTGCAGACGACAGCAATGGAATTCTCGGTACAATAATTCCCTAATTTAATTCAATTTTCATCCGTTTTTTAAATATTTTTTTTTTCAAATATTAACTTTGATTTTCTGTTGAATTAATCGACCGGCATTGGGTGTAATTTTTTTTTTTTACCGGCTGTTGAGCAGAGATCGAGTTCGTTATCAATCCGGGAGAAGATCTGCGCGGCGTTTATACCGTTTGCAGCTATGGTAGAGGCGCTGGTTTTCGCCGTGACCGGTTGCTGCAGCCACCGTTCCCGCCGCCCAATCAACCGCGGTTTCGCTTGCGGCGATATATCTCACCTCGCCGATGAAACCAGATGTATTGGAATTGTGAATTTTCTTTCGTTTTGTTTTGGAATTTAGGAAAAAAAAAAATTTAACAGTAATTATGAAATCATGATGCAGTTACTGTCAACGAGCTGGAGGCGTTGTATGAGCTTTTTAAGAAGCTGAGCAGCTCGATTATCGACGACGGATCGATTCACAAGGTCAGCTGAATTTGCTTAGAAAGTTAGAATTCTTCATATTTTGAAGAACTGTGATGTTTCTTTTGAGATTGGAGTTGTCGTGCTTAATTGTGTAATGGTGGTTATGTTGTAGGAGGAGCTTCAATTAGCACTATTTCAAACTCCCCAAGGCGAAAATCTGTTCCTTGACCGGGTAAATGCATCGAGCAGCTGAAATAATTTTGCTCACCATTGTGTTGATTGCAGTTAGATGAGTTTAAATTTTGAGATTTTGGTGGTAGATTGATTAAATCACACTCAACTAACGGCAATCAATGCGACGGTGATGGATGGTGAGCAAAAGGAATGAATGGTTTTGTTTTGTATGTGTAGCTCTGCCTTCGTGTGTATGATTGCTAACTTGTTTTCGATCTTGTAGGTTTTTGATCTATTTGATGAAAAGAAAAATGGTGTCATTGAATTCGATGAGTTTGTTCGTGCACTCAATGTCTTCCATCCTTACGCCCCTATTGATGACAAAATCGATTGTTAGTGTTACTGCTATGTATTGGATTGTGTAAATGCAGGTCGTGTGTCGTTCTTAATTAATGATTTGTGTTTGTTGATTACTTGCAGTTGCATTTCGGCTGTATGATCTGAGACAAACCGGATTCATTGAGCGAGAAGAGGTGAGCACGATACTTTTCTTAACCTCTGAATCTCCGAGGTAAACTATTTTTAGATGTGTTGTTAAGTTGGTACTTTGTTTCAGGTTAAGCAAATGGTGATTGCCATATTGATGGAATCCGACGTGAAATTGCCGGATGATATTCTTGAGGAAATCATTGAGAAGGTAAGCGCTGAACATGTCTAGGTCTGAATTTTATTTACCGGGTGTTGGTGATCTAGCGCCAAGAGAATTTAGCACCCACGGCATCTCTAATTGTGTTGCAGACATTTGCCGACGCTGATGCTGACAAAGATGGGAAAATTAACAAAGAAGAATGGAAGGTTTTCGTGCTTCGGCATCCATCGCTTCTGAAAAACATGACTCTTCCTTATTTGAAGTATGTAACTTGCCTGCGTCTCTTACTTGAAGCATCCAAGCTTTCAACTAAAATTTCAGTATTAATTGAAAATTACTGACCTGCCTGTGAACCAATCCTCTAGGGACATCACGACAGTATTTCCGAGTTTCATTTTTCACACCGAAATTGAAGACTGAGCATTTGAAAGCCTTTTCCTACAGAGGATCTGTAGAAAAAGAGCATAATTCCAAAGCTCCTGCGTATTGCGGAGATACTTCCATCAATTCAAATGGGAAACATCCGAGTTTTAGGCAAGGCCGGGATGGCTGCACCGCAAGATTATTTGTTTGGTTGAAACTTCAAAGCGCAACAAGAAATCTTCATCGATTCAAAGCCTTTGTATTTTGTACAGTGAGGTCATTTTTGTAGCGATATTTATAAATATAAATATGTAGTGCTTCTTGTAAATACATTTTTGTAGTGGGAGAGAAGTCATTTTTGTGGTAAAAATTAAGCTTCAAGTAACATTTGAAGGAGCTGGCCCTTAGTAAGAGGCTTTCTGAACTCGAACACGCAATTGTGCAGTCTTGGGCTCATAGCAATACGAGCTTTGTATTTGGAGGAACTCTGCCCTGAAGCTTTTGCCGGACTATTTCCCTCCATTCGTGCCTTCACCTTCCAACCAATCCCTACCGAGAGGTTGAAGACGATCTGCTCAAGACTCTGCACATTTTGTAGCACGTAAATCGCAAACCCAGTTTCGTACCAATCACCTACACATTTTGTTTGCAGCGCGTAAATCGCAAACCCCAGGAGTTCAGTCGGAATTTAATAGTTTCTCATAGATCATCAATCAATTTAAGATCAAAACCAGGAGAGTCTAAGGAGAACATGTATTGCCACCACTTTGTTTTGCCATTGTTTACATCTACCCTAATCAATAGCTTTCTTGGGCAACACTCTAATGAGTTGCCTCTCTCTTATCGATTGGAGAAATAGGGAAGTGGACAGGGACGAAGCTAGAGAGCTATACAGATGGGAGCATCCTCAGATAACAAAGTCACAAATTAAAAAGCTCAAAAATTTACTAAACAAAACACATATATTAATTCATAAGGTTTTTCATACGACATGTTACAATATCATTCGATGCATTTTTATGTTTTGAAAGCGTTACATGACAATTTAATTATCAATACCATCAAATATCCCTTTATAAAAATAATCATGTTATTATTCTTTCATTAATCTCCCATTTGATTAATTCTTCAAAAATTCATAATCGAAAATGCTCCATCACGTGAAATTACCATATGCAATATGTACAATTTTTCCAGGAGAAAAAAAAAACTGAGTGGGACATCCGCCCTTGTTTCCAAGATGGCTTCGTCTATGGAAGTAGAGTAAAAAATTTCCTGAGAAGTATGTTGGAGCCTAAAAACTTTCTACAGAAGACCCCAACAGTGTGTTCCCTAATAGGCCAACATAAAGGGGGGACTTTGGGGGGTTAAAGGACCTGTACGTTCCCAATCCTCCCGACCCTTGTAGGTTAAATAAAAGGAAAACTAATGAAAATAGCTTGAAAACTTTGAGTTGAGTTTTAGTGTAAAAATGTAATTTTTCGTTAAAGTGAACAGTACCGCGGACTTTTCGTTAAAACTCTCTTAGACAAAAGGATTAGCAAAATGAAGTGGCTGGGCTATACAATATTGTTAATATAACTAGATCTCCACCGTGTCTTTTTTGGTTACTAATATTTTCAGACATTGGTCGATCTTCAACCATGTCCTACTCAGAGGCGCTATTTTGTTAGCGAGATGTTTCAAAGCGAAGCCAGTACTCAGCCCGTCCCCCGCTCTGATTCTCGCTTAGATAATGTACATTGGAGGTGCTAGATGAGGGTCGCATGCGCCTGATTCTACCAATTTTCCTTTAGCTTTCAGAGTTTCGATTTCTATCTCGTAATTCTTGACTTCTATTTCGATATGGCTTATCCTGCAACGAGAGAGCACACACGAGGAGCTGCGTAGCTTAATAGCTACTGCACAAGGAGTTCGTTTGTACAGAGTGTACGGTAGACATGCTCAGTAATCTTCCAGGAGGGGTTGCTCAAAACATCCTTTCCTTGCTTTCATTCAGAGAATTCGCTCGATTTGGCAGTTTATCCAAACGCTGCAGACTACTCTATATGTCAACTCCGAGATTGAATTTTAAATTGTTGGGAATGAATACGTCCACGAGCAATGAGTGGTCAAGGCTTTTGGTCCTGTTCTTGCTCAGAAGTATGGTAGTCCAGTCTGGAAAGTCGTCAAGCATTAGAGAAAAATACGATTGGATCTGATGCTGCTGAGCTTTTTATATGCATTCGTTGTTTCGACAAGTATAAGCATCGCCTTCACTTGTGGCAATCCATATGAATGGCGATGGGATGATAAGTTGAATCCAGGATACGGGCGAAGCTCTCTAGCCGTCGCCAAATGATCCTCCATTGATTGAAAAAGCAACTCCAATTGCTTGACGAGAGAATGCCAAAACAAAGACACGGCCAACGGAGTTCCTGTGTCTCAGAGTGGCAGTATGATGAGTAGGTGCAGGCCTTAGAGTAAGGGATTGTTGTTTGGGACCTTACGACATATTTGTACCAAAGATTGATTGGATATTGAGTTTACCATGTTGAGATGTGACAGAAAAAATTGAAGTTAAACCTAATACGTAAGGAGTTTCTCGTACGTGTCGTTGCCGGGAGCTATTTCTCTGATACAGTCCCAACTCCCAAAGGTTTGGTTTGTTTTACAAGCCCTCCTAGCATTATGGAAGAATCCATACAAGAAAGAATTGGGTGCACCACACCTTGAAAGGGGCCTCGGTGAAAACTCTAGATTTCAACCTGGACCTAGTTAAGGAAGAAAAGAGCACCACACACAAAAATTACATGGAAAATATACAATCATCGACAAACCAAACGAAATCTTGTGCCACCGTCAATCCATTTCGTGGCAGTCACTGCTGTTAACTTCCCTGTTCCCATGATTATTGTATTTGATCTGGTCAAAAATCAGCATGAAGGAGCATAAGGTCCAAGCAACGAGGAGTCAGCAGAGGAATGCTTTAAGAAATCGCTTTCCAACGCCTGCAAGTTCTCATGGCATTGGTGAAGATGATCAAATTTCAGTTGGAAGGGGCCATTGATGGTTGACGCTACGCATTTTGCGCGTTTTGACAAAATCCCTGAAACGATAGACGGCTTGCCAGTTCAGCAACATCTTTAAGACGTTGTACTGAAATTAAATTTTCTAGGAAACAACTGGATATATGTACATTAAAGGCAAACAATAACAAACCTCACGAGAAAACCTTCAAAGGTGACTAACTTCAATTGACGCTCCTTAATTAGGCAGAACATCCGCTCGGTCATGTTCTGTGAATACTTGAGCAACTAAGATTAGCAAATGCCTGTGACATGGAAATTTGCTATCGAATTTGGTACGTATGGATGAATAATTACGTAAATGTGTGTGATTAATCAGTAAGATGTGCACGATAAGTCCTTAATGGTTTATCAACCACAACTTTTCACTCAGTCGTCTTGTAGAGAAATTAGAAATGAGTGGTTGAAGTTAAATAATCATTACTAATTTGATAGGAAACTATTAATAGCATTAAAAAAATCTCATTCTACACTTCTCATAAGTGTGTTTTTTTCTTTCTAATTATAAAAAGTTAGAGTGCAAAATGAGACTTTTAGAGTGTCAATAACAATTTCTATTTGATAATATTTTATATATATATATATATATATATATAAAGGAAGAAAATCACCCTTTCAAAGAAAATTAATATATATGCTTAGCTCGTGAGTCACCACTTGATCCACATTACTCATGTCCTTTAAAGAAGAAAAATAAGCAAATTAAACAAATATGATGATAGCAGCTGTAATTGATACACACACACACACACACACACACACACACACACACATATATATATATGTGTGTGTGTGTGTGTGTGTGTGTAAATAAGATTAGATAGAGCTCAATACTAGTATGACGAGATTTTGATGTTTGGGATGTGAGAAATCTTGGGCCACTCATTGCCACTACCTTGTTCACAGCGTTCTGAAAGACTTGGACAATCCTCAATGATAAGATCTTGCAGGGGTGTTTGGCAGAGGAAGTCTGGCAGTGTTTTTATGCCTTTACAGTAACAAATTTCTAAAGAGGAAAGGCATGGCATGATTGAAATTTCATAGTCCTCTTTGTTCCACCCTTCCATGCCTACTTCCCACTCTTCCAACGCAAACATGTAACCAATTTTGAGTTCTTTCAACTTGGGGAAAAATGAGAAGGATGATGATGTCAGTGACGTTTGATCTTTGTTTATTCCCAGAAACTCACCACTAACCTTCTTCACCATTTCCATGCTCATTATAGTCAGCTTTTCAAGGTACAACAATTTCCCAAGAGGAGGCAAAAACTTGCATTCACTCCATCCCACTAGACTGATAATTCTTAAGTTGTGCAAAGACATCATCCAATTGGGGCAGGTGGTGGCCTAATAATAAGAAATATCTAAAGATTCTAGATTTTCATGCGGCTATAAGACATTCAGTATTTCAACATTGCTTCTTGTCTGCTTGTATTGGACATACTCAGAGTTAATTCCGATATGAAAGAGTTACTTCTTGTGCCACAACTGTGCTTTCTCAAGTTCACTCTCATCTTTTACATTCCCTTCCAATATTATGGTGAGACTGCCCTCAAGGTTGAAGACTCCCAGATCTTCCAAGTGGTTGAAAAACATCTTTCTCTACCTCTTCCCAATCCCATATCTTACTATTTAAAACATCTCGCCATTCCCTCCTTGTTCTTTTGTTGTGCATTAGACTCCCTAAAGCTTTTGCAACCAGAGGGAAACCCTTACATTTCTCTTCAATTTTCTTACTAATATCTTCAAACGCCTTAGATTAGTCGACTCTTAGCAAACGCCATGTGATTGAAGATGGATAAACAATGTCCTTCACTTAACTCTCCCAAATTGATCATGTCACTTTTTGCTCTCATCATATCAACGACCTCATGCTTTCTTGTGGTCACCAATATTCTACTTCCATGAGCACCACTTTGGATTAGTGATGCCCTTAATTTTTCCCACTTATCACGGTCATGGGTCCACACATCATCTAGGACAAGGAGATACCTTTTTCCCTCGATGGAACTTGACATGCGTTGCAAGACATAATCCAACTCATTTGAGATTGGGGCATCATCACCGCTTATAGCTTTGGCAATCTTAATTTCATCAAAAGAATCTGATACACAAAGCCACACTCTCTTTTAAAAATAAGCTATAACATTGCCATCATTATAAACTAGTTGGATCAAAGTTGTCTTCCCTATTCCTCCCATCCCTATAATAGGAATGATAAGGACCCCATCTTCTCCACCATCACTCAACAACTTTTTTATCAGAATGTCTTTTTCCTTTTGTCGACCAACTTCTAATAAGACGACAAAAGATGAAGT